AGCATAGCAAAATAGAGCACTCTTTTCTCTATTAGACTATATAGAAAGAAAGTTTTTTTTAAGCTTACTATATGGCTATGTAACGTCGTGATCAGAACTTTTGGTACACCCTAAGTAATCTCTCACAAGTGCAGCAAAATAAAAGTATTAACTGCAAGTAGAAACTTCTATCAACACTTATTATGATTAGCAAAAGATCCGACAAGTTCGTTTGGTATTTTCAAAAAATTCTATGCAAGAATATTCGTCAAATCGAGATGATTACTTACGATTGTCTTTTAGATCTCAATGCTCTCTTCATGCATTCGTACGTAAACAAAGTAGATACTTCACGTAGGTACACCTGCATTTATCATACAGATACTATTATGAGACTTGTCATAGAAATAAAATATCTCGGAGAATTGTAATACCGGTGCCCCAATATAAATTTCGAATGCTGTTCTCTCTATACAATTATTGAGCACAATTCCATGGCCCAACATATTTCTTTTATGTCATGCTTTTATTAGACTTTGCCGTCATCTCTTGAACCTTCAAGAATTAAATCAGTACAATAATTACTTGTAATAAACATTTGACTCTCTCAACCGGTGTCAAGACTGCTGTATTTGTAATTTCAGCAAGAACTCCAACCAAGATCAATTAGAGTAAACTAGCAATAAACTTAAAAATAAGAAAATTATAAAAATTACAATTTTCAATTTATCTATATTTACCATTCTTATTTGACGGTTTTTGCAACCATCTTCCAATACTATTCTCAAAGAATAATAAAAGTGATGTAGGTGTTACTCCTAAGACGATTAGAATAAATTGCAAATATGCGTAAAATGAGTTTGTAACATAGAACCTTGCCATAACTACAAGCAAAGACTCCACGTCTCTGCACAGAGCGAAACACCCTTCAAGAAACATAATACTGAGGAAACAAAGAATAAAAAACGAAGCAGACCTCTTTTTTGACAGTCGTTTCAATACAATCGAAGGCATCTTTACACGCGGGATTTTCTCCAGGTTTCGATTCAGGCATTGTTTGCAAACGAATCTACAATCAAAAGAAGTAATTGGTACTAATGTACGGAGAAAAGAATTTCATGAGTCTGTTTCAATGTTTTAGTGACTTGAATTCAAGATAAAGAAATAATTTTATGTGTTTTTAAATGAAATTATTAGAGTGGATATGGGTGTGTATGTCGGTGCAGAAAAAGGAATAACGATACTAACACTCATACCCCTTAAAGAAACTATTTTTATTCTAATATTTATCGGCACAGCTATTCCTCTGAAAATATGCGGAACACAAATTTAAAGAACATACTCTAATATGATAAAAACATATAAATCGCTTGAATTATATAAGAAATATTTACGTTAAGTTTTCTGGCGAACTTTTTAGACACCCTGGGTATTAAAGACACAATAGTGTGACACTTTTATTCATAGAAAAATGTGAAAAAATCCTGTTAAGTAAAAGAGACAGCTTTGCGATTTTGAAAAAACATTTAAAATCATGTTTTCGTTTTTTGAAAAAGATAACTTTTGGGAAAATTTTGATTCCACAGTGCCAATTTAGGCTCATGAGTCTCAACTGAATTTTCTACCAAATCCAGGTTGGTTTAAAGGAATAAAAACCGTGTGTCACATGTGTATACTATTGATGATGTCTCTTATTTCTTGACTTTACTCCACGAGCTTAATAATGAGGTTTCAGGTACAGGTGCATTAGTGAGATTAATAAAATACTGTCTCGTTTCGGTATCGGTATCGGTCTCGATCGAATTCACTTTGAATAAAGTGAATGGAAGAAGAAGCACTTCTTCTTCACCAGTAAAACTTGATAGAGGTGGCAATTGGTCATTGATTCTTGTTAGATTGATGGCAGTCGAACACTTTGTAGGAAAATGAAAAGTGAGTAAAACCGGAAAACGAACCGTTCCTGTTCTATTCATGCCTATGTTGGCAAAATTTTGAGCAACACTTTTCTTCTTCGATGTCGATTGAATAGTACGTGTTTCAAGAACAAAGTCGTCACGTTGCGGTTGTGCTGCCCATCGATAAGCGTCAATATCTTGTGATGTCATACTGCCTCCACGATACGCTCGTCCGGTAAATGCTCGTTCACTTAATTCCGAAAGATGAAGAAAAAGTAAAGCTGTATATGCATTTGCGTTTGTTTGTAATACTCCATACAATGGAGTTTCGAGTGTGTAGAGTGTAAGAAGTGGATCCACGCGACTCTTCTTGATGAAATCATCGTAGAGTCGCAAAGCTTCTTTATGACTGTGTCGATCAAGAGAGCGACCTAGAAGATCGTCAAGATTTTCTCGTCCTTCTCGTTCAGTGCGTTGCTTCAAGAGGTATTTGAGAAAAGATGGTGCTCGTGCAATGGAATTCATAAATTGAGACTCAGTAGCGTCCGAGGCGCCATTTTCATATCCACACAACCAATCGTTTGGTGCCGATATATATTGATAGTCTTGATGCAAGTTATCGCCAATACGCTGTTTGATTTGATACACGATGCTTGGACTAGCTGTGTCGAGAAAACGTGACGGAGATTTGTTATCTCCTTGAGGTCGTGCAAAAAGCAATTGAATATCTTCAGATGCTGCTGGTAGTTCCTCGAATGCAATTTGTCCTTGTCGATTGGTTATTGTTCGAAAAACAAACGAATTTTGTAAAAGAAGACGTACGATTGCGGCATTGTTAGAAGAACAAGCAGCGTGCAAAGCCGTTTGTCCAGTTTCAGAATTTACTCTGTTGATTTCTTCACTAGTTAATGTAGGCAAAAGAGTCTCAACAGTTTTTAGATCATCATTGAGACATGCTTCGTATAACAGACGAGAACGATGTTGTGATGACGGATCTTGTCGCGACAGTTGAGTGCCCATTGCTAAACACTCTTGCTTCTGTTTTTTGCACCAGTGAAGCTCTTACTTCTACAACATATCTGTATTTAATACTTAGTCAGACAAGCGATTAAAAAAGTGACGTTTCTACGGTGTTAAAAGCACACATTTCAACGCAACAAAACATATTTTTTTACCAGGAAAATGCTTGAACGCGCGTTAAAGTATGAGCTTTTAACGTCGTAGAAATATCGTTTTTTTTCATCGCTTGCCTGACTGGGTATCGCTGCTTGTTTTTAATGTTCTTCTACTACTACTTCCTCGTTCTCAAAGAGATCGGCATAGTGACTTTTTTTCTTTTAGTTTCAGTTGATATTTTTGCAGAAGAGAAAAAAAAGTGAAGTCTTGGCAATATTGCGACGTGGAAGCATAATAACTGTTTGCCGTATGCTGAAGACAGAGAAACAAGTAGCTTGATTGTTTAATTGTTCGGATGCCAGTGCCAGAATTTTCATTACAGAACGCAAGAGAAAAATCATTCTTGCTTGCGTTTTCTTGCATTTTTCGCTGGTATGCAGAACAGAAAAATAGCGGTATCCAAAGGGTTAGTCACAAGCAATAAACAAAACGTATAGCGTAGATATAAATGCAATGAGTGTAAGTATCTACTTGAAAGAAGTTGATCGAGTTTTTACCATCTTCCCCTCTGATTCTTAACTGATCACATAACATTTAGAGAAGAAAAAAAAATTGTTTTTGCCACAAAAGACTATTTCAACGTAGCTATGAGCAGAATCTATTTTCAAATCATTTTTTTCTTTCAATTGGTTGATCATCATATGAATTTTATTAATAAATTGAGCGACTTTCGTGTGAAAATGAATAACCAAGTTGCTTTCTTCATCATGTAACGAAGAAAAATGCTTCGATTCGTTTGCATTGAAAGACAAAGCGATTTGGGCTTTACCCATGCAGAGAGATAAAAGGCAAAAACGCTGTTTTAATGCGTCAAAGATACGAATTGAAGAAAACAACAATGTAGTAAAACTCGTTGACTCGGAAAATATTCGAAGTAAACGCGTAGAACGGTTTCTTTCTTTCATTTAATGCGTTAAAACGGATTTAACGAAGATATTAGGCCAGTAAACACGTTTTACCGTATGTATTCTACAAAAATTAGAGAAGTGAATTAATTTTAACATAAACATGCCATTCGTTTAAATGCATTAAAATATAAAAATTAGCGCGCATTGAAATAAAATTCTATCGGACAAAAAATGAATAGAAAATAAAGCAAATGACTCTGAATTTTTTTTTATGGATAAGAACTCTCAGTTCGATGGAGAAATTCCAAAGGAATCAGAGTTATGAAATGGATGAAATTTAACATAAGCTCTGATAGAATAGCAAGCGCTTTGATCAAAGATTTATAATGAATAAACTCGATTAGTGATCGATGTCAGGGTACATAGACTACATGTTTACATCACTACACCCACAATTAAGTATTGCTGTATGCATTAGAGATCGATATGAATAAGGGTAATTTAAAGAAATTATATTTTGTAAACAGTTAGTAGCAATGAACTTGTCTAGTATCGATATTGGCTTTTTATTTGAACTCGAATTCTGAATTCCTTGATAAAAATTTAGAAAAACTTAATTTTAAACACCTTATTACCGAGTTTTAAATTAAAAAATCAACTTTTTCATCGTTTTTCAGGACTTCTCGCTAAACAAGTAGTACGTATACTGCTTAATCAACCTTTGACAAATATATAATGGTTTAAGATTCGATAGCACGTGATATTTATTCATTGACCAGAAGAGAAATAAAAGAAGATGAAAATTAATTTTAAAAGTTTAATCAATTTTCTGAGATTAAAAATCAAATAATGTGATTAATAATCTTATTAAAATCTCTAAAAAATCTAATAAATTAATAAGGATCGATTTTTAGAAATTGATTTGAATTTAAACAGTATTCTGATGAAAATTGGATCAAATTAATACTATTGTAATTGATTTTTAATCACCAAAAATTATTAAAATCCACTATATATCGCTTTTTATTTAAACGGGTCAACTTCTACTATAAATAGCTGTGCAAGTGTATGTACTGAAACTCACCATTTTGTGAAATTGTGATGCCGTGGACGATTATCAAACAAGGTGTTAACGTTCTCTCTTCGCTCTATGTGAGGTTCGATGGAGAGAGATATATATTCGTATGTCCTTGATGTACGTGGACTACTTTATTTCGTAAGGAAAAGTAACAACTGTTTTTATAACGA